ATAAATCGCGCCCGTCAGTCAACATCTGAGTTGTTTGCGAGGTTCTTGGTCTACTAGTCGTTAATGTCGGAGACGAGTAAATGAATGGAGATAGTTATCTATTCTGCGTTTGTCGGAGTTCATGTAATTTACCTCCCCTCTAGGACAGTGAGCCTAAAGTGCACACTGAGTGCATCGTTCCTCTATTTCATTGTACCCTAGATAAGTTTCGTCACGAGTCTGGACAATGATTACGGTAGCTACCCGTGGGACAGCTAACAGAGAAACGCAACAAACTCGTTCTTCGGTGTATGAGAAGCGAGGGCGATCAAAACCCCTCCAGAAAGGAATTCAATTACTACTCACGTGACATCATATCAAGGGGGCATTGCGCATATATTATACGTTATACTTTTTTTTCTGCGTTGTTGTATACGGTAGCTTTGTTGGCACCGGAAATGCCAATAAAGGAGATAGATTACCAGGATAGATGTATTTTGGGCCAGGTGTTTTTATTGTTGCTATATAAAAGGGCAGTGGGCGTGCAGCTTGTAACGCAATTTTCTTCATTAATTTTCTCTTTAAGCAGTCACGTTCTGTTTCCTTGAGAGAAATACAGCATAGGGATGAAGTATGAACCAGTCGACTAGGCTTATAGTGAGAGATTGAGCTCAAATGGCACGATAAATCCCCAAGAGATGTAGGATTGATGCTTTTAGCAGAACAAATTTCGGCGACCCCAGAGGCTGCGCTGCGTGGCGCCTATTCCAATGAAGGTACCCCTAAACAGGGTACAGCGTCGTTGTGTGAAACATATGGGGGAGCCTCGTACTTGCCGCTTGAGAGAGGGTGTCGTATTTGGTCGTTGCTGGGAGAGATGTGCCTTCAAGAGAAGCGTTAGGAATTTTTTTCCCGTTGTTGACTGTGTTGACTTTTCGTGATTTTTCCTGTTTCATGTCTATGTACCGCCACGCCCCCCCCCCCCCGCTCGACGGAGAGTTTTCGGGTGAAAAAAATGGGGGGGGGGGGTTGTACTGACACCACCATTTCGCACATCAAGATTCTGTACCCTGCCCCTTAAGTGCCTTATGAAACTGCGACATACCGACAATTACGACGCCCAGTGCCCGCCCGCCCACAAATGTCCGACCGATGCTGATGCCCCTACCGTTTCATTTGCGAGGTGCGGTATGAAGCGTACGGGTACAACGTGGAAGGCTTTTGCAATTTTCTGACCGTTTCACTTCGATGTTTCGCCGTTTTCCTACTCTATAGCATCCCTGATACAACTTTAGGTTAAGTGCCAAATTATCGTTCCTTATGCCCTTGAGCAGCTAATTCCGAGTAATTGTTTCAAAGTACCCCAATGAGTTAAAGTATATCGCGATTACGAGCAAGTTGTCATCAGTCCACTATAAGAAATATTTAGTGCTTACCTGCCACATAAAAGCCCTTTCTTCCATAGGACAGTCAGGTTCGAATCGTAGATGATTACCACTTTCACTGCTCGAAAGAGAGCGCCGTCATTAGCGCTACCTGTTAGCAACAACTCCAGCCCAAGAAAGAGCAAAGTCAAGGTCGTGTCCCCTCAGGACCGCGGTAAGATTCGTAAGACGTTTGGCGCCTGCCGTATCTCTCGTCCTTCCTGCTCCCTCCATCTGTCTCTGGTCCATTATCTGAGCGTGCACTCCCTATCACGCTTTTTTGATTGCTCGTCCTATGCTGGAAATCAACCGGGCCTTTTTTGGGTTTTCTTAGGCGACTTCTTTTCCACTTTTCTTCGCTGGTATGTCGGTCAGCATCGTTCCGAAAACCTTCACACTTCCTTTCAACAGTTTACGAAGGAAGTTTGTTGGACAGGTTCTTCCCTAGAACAGCAGAAGTACAGTCTCCATTGAAGAGCATGCAGTGGATGTTGCAGATTCTAATGAGAGCTCATGCTGGCTAGGTTCATATTAAATGAGAGGCATAATATTTGATGGCACACAGAATTTTTAAGGACTTAGTAATTCGATGCAGGCTTTTTCCTTAACACGCGACATCATTTTTGCTGAACTAATTAGTTAAGAGGAAGAACCAGATTCACTTATGATTCCCGAGAAATGTTGCAAATTCTGAGGTGGAAAATGGAATTTGTAAAGGTTGTGTAAAGGAAATCGGAATCCGGTGAAACCATTGGTGCTCCAATTATTTCCTGCAGTTCATGTATCTCAATTTATGTGGACTTAAAAGGCATAGTCCGCGATCATTCGCCATCACGTGGATAAGTGGCTCGATAGATTACAAGGTTCTGAGTAACTCGAAAGCGAAGAAAAAAAAAGCAGGAAAAAACATGTCAGCTGCCTTAGCTAGAATCCCATTCTGAACCCAGTCTGTATGAGCTCAGACTCTCTTGCTTCACATGGTAAGACGTTCCTAAGCCATGAACACCGTTGTGAATGGCCTGCACCGCAAGGTTTTTTGGTTGATTCATTGCGGAAAGTCTTGCGTTCAGATGAGTCAAGCTGAAACGTGTATTCGGCTTGAATTTACTTTGGGTTGAGCTAACTCTCCAGCCAGCAGTGAGGCGGATAGCTCGTGCGAATGCTACTACTCATGACGCTCACGATCTAATATTCAACTAATAGATTAAGTCCCATATCAGGCAGCGAAGACTTTCATCCCTCATGGGCCATTCGTTGGCGGGCATTTTCCTCTAGATAGAGAAAAGGATCATGACTGTACTGCATATTGTCCTCGCAACTCATTCTATATACCAAATTGATTCAAGACCATACTAGGTTCTAAGCGGAAGCAGAATGCGAGGCGTATCCCGAGAGTAGACCTGTCAACGTCCTCACCCTGCAGTCCTCTATTACTTACAATGAGGATACATAAGCGTCGCTCCGTTTTCGTAGTGGGGGATAGCCGCGCTTATGAAGAAGTTGGTATGGAGACAAGATCGGAGTCATAACTTTTTCAACTGACAACCTCGCTGGTCATCAGGGAATCCGAAACTCCCGCCGCGCAGAACATTGGAGCAGCTCCAGCGCTCGGGATACTGGTCACGATGGGTATTTCATGCGTTGGTACTGCCATGCTCGCTCTCTGAATCTGCCTTCGTAAGACAATCTAGCATGGAAGCCTCAAGGCACGCGATCTCCGCCCATTTTGACCCACTATTTCACGAGCCGAGGCTCCCCTGATGCTCTGAGTTGTATGAGTATAAAAGAATTGTCCGAATCATCATCAGTACTGGTACTTCATCAACTTCTTTGAAAGGGTTGAATAGCTTCGTAGATCGTTAACTCCAAAGAAAGTTTTTTGTTTGTCGTGTCAAACCTCACGAGCCGGATGGGCAAAACTCATAGAAGTACTCCTCTTATGTTTTTTTTCGAAGGGTAACCATATTTACTAAACATTCTAATAATTGCCTTTTCAGACTGGCTGTACCTGGGGATCGGCGGTGCGCTCGGGCTGCTCGGTCTCGTCGCCGTAGCAGCTCTGCTTGCCGTGAGAAAACGTCGACAATACCCATCACTTCTTTTGCCACCTAAACAGGTACGGCTATGACTCGTATTCATTGTTATCTTTTTTTCACACCTCCCCCAGGAAAAGAATTTAAAATCAAAGGAAAATTCTTTCATTAATCAATCAAAAAATTAAAAGTTTTTCTTATAATGAATTAATCCCAGTTTCCGAGAGGTTTGGTAGTGCAATGCCGCAGTCTGTTACCACTGATGATTCCGTTTCTGAAAGCTCAGAGTTGCTCACTGTATTATCTATGGCTTTCATCTTTGCAGCTCTTGAAGGGAATTTCTTTGGGCCGAAATTCTGGCAATAAGTTGTTTCTTCAGAGATTCCACTGAGTATTTATCCCCTAAGCTCTGTTGGTAGTGTGCAGAAGAAGGGGGTTTCAATGATTGACAAATGAATATGCTCGCGTGACAGAGAGTCGCTTTCAAAAAGTGAGTACATGGGCAACCCAGCGGGGAATGAGAAACTATAGCTTGCACTCTTCCAGAATCATCCCTCAAAAGGGATTCAAAGTGCCCTTAAATCGCTTCGAATTACTCGACGAGGAGCTAGTGCAACTGAAATAAAGTTTCCGTCCCGTGCGTAAGCTACAGACTTGGCAGGTTCCAAAATTATTCGCTTAGTAGTTAAAGAGGAGTACTTTGACGACTTATTGTCTGCAAGCCTACTCAACTAACATGCTGGAAAACTCTCACGCGGAAGAGGGGCTTGCTTCGAGCACTGCTTTCCGGTATTCTCACAGCTACTTTATCCCCATTCGGGACAAAGTTATCAAGCTTATTGCCATTTGCTACACTTGACTTCGCAACGTCCCTGGACATAATTTTACAGTAATATTCTTCTCAGTTTTACGCTGGGCTGTTCATTTTGTTGAGTTTTCGTAGCACATTGAGCGCGGAGCGAGCGGATCTGCGCTCCTCCTATCGAAGGCAGCAGTTGTCCGCTCCCACCAGTGTCCGTCGATTCTTTTTCTCTTGGTGGTAGCTCAAACGTTCGAGTGGTTCTCCAAGTCCAAGATGTCAAGGGTCGCAATCCATGCTGCTCTCTCAGTACATTTGTATTTTTCTTAAACTCAAACACACGTAGCTTGTTTTGGGAGATCGGGCGCTAGAAAGTGAGTATGGTGGACTTCCGAATCCTTCTTCACGAGATCATACTGAAGGTCCTGCGGCTCTAGCGCTATGGAGTGTGGCACTTTGTGAGTCATGTTGCGCGTCGATAGTGGTACAATTATCGATTGTGTGAGCAACACCTCCGTGAGGATGAAAAGTCATAGAGGACTTGCAGGCTTCTGTAGGGATCCTGCCTCTGAGCGATCCTGCCCAAGCCTGCAGTCGGTGTTCTTTTAAGTTGGAAGAGTTTTTATCTTTGATTTTGGAATTCGTAATGGCTGCGACTGAGCAGCCGGGCCCTAAGGTGCATGTGCGGTCACAAAAGTCCTCCCACGCCTTGATGAAAGACCGCTGAAAGGATTACTACACTACGAATTCCCTGATAAGTCAGCGATGCTCCGCTTTCTTTTTATCCCATTCTCAGTACAACGTAAGTATGTTATGGATACAGTGCGTATTGAGGGCTGTCTGAAGCTGATTAAACCAGTTCGTACGCTTTTCCCCATGTAATTTTCTCTGGAAATGCCGAATTGCTGGGAAGTACTACATTCGTATTTGCAATGCAACACTCTTTGATAAATCGGTTTATATTTTCGGAAAACACCGAGTTCTTTGAAGAATAGATACTAGGAATATCCAGTAGTCAGTGGAGTCAAGTTACTTTGTAACAGTTTTCTGGGACGGACCAATACAGCTTGAGAATAGCATTTCTCCAGTATCTACTTTTACTAGTTCCAAAAGTACATGTCTCCAAAATGTTGCACTATTCGTGCAAGAGAGCATGCCGCTGCTTCTGCGTTTTATGTGGTTCAGAGAGAGTAACCGTGGTAAGCGCGACACTTTTCACTACACCGCTTTCGCCACAGCGGGTTATGTAGATGAAAACGTCGCAATTGTTTGAGCCCGTTTCATTAGGAATGGAAAGATCTCGCCCGTAGCGATTTTACCCCGGGTTTTTTTTCCTCCCTAAACGGGCCACTAAACGACCATTATTGGAAGAGCAAGGCAGCGGTAGTCGGGCTCATCCCGCCTCTCTTGACAGCGCCCCGCCTGATTGCGGCTTTATGGACAACAGGATAATAGTATTGTTACCCCTATACAAGTATTATTTAGTCTCTGGTTCTGGTGCTGCCTAGTCACAAGGCCACGTCGAAGACCTATGCGCTACGTTCATTAAAGGCAGAGTTCACGATCACTCGTACTATCTAAGCTCTTCAAGAGGAGAGGTAGTTTGCACGGCAACGAACGTCCCTGTATAAGCTTCTCGTCAAAAAAGATAAGGTAGCGGCGGCAAGGTACAAAGCTCCTGAAGCGGCACCGCCCGCTTTGATAGATATCCTGCTCTCGTGGCTTCTCTATCCTCTCTCCCGATATACCCAGTGGATCTCTGTTTCTCATTTGGCGCCGATAGGATCTTATTTAAGAGCATTTTTGGCAGTTTTCTCCTCCTTTTTTTTCTTCGTGACAGGGCCATTTAGCACATACACTTATGTTCCTATAACCGCTACCCACAAACTTCCTGCTGGCTCATCACAAACTCTGCCTTCAATATATCTACTCGGGACACTCCGTCGACGGAGGGGGGGGGGGGGCATTTTGCACTTTGCTACTTCCCATCGACGTGTCGACCCATCCAGAGAGCCATTTCGTGAGTTCACAAGAGTTAACAGATTCTACCATGGTGGTTAGAAGAGCTTGCTCCAGTTCACCGGTTTCACCAGAGTGAAACTTGTGAACAGAAACCAGCGAAGCAGCGAACGTGCAACATGCCCCTACCCGTCGTCGAACCGCGTCCTATCTAGTATGCAAAGTCTCGTCATGATATTGGAAAAAAGCATTCGATGGCGGATCCATTTCATTCCCATTTCATACACCCATCACTGAAATGACCTAACCGCAGACACTGGAATTACCTTCGAGTAGCTGCAGACGTGAAGGGATTTGTTTAGCGAAAGGCTCACAATGCTTGCTTCTTAGGAACAGAACGACATCCAAAAATGCGTGTTACGCGAATTTGCATAGAAAACCAGCAAAAAGCATCGCTCTTCCATTAATTTCCACGTCCTTCCAAGAGATTCAATGGCTGTTCCATTGTTGTTTTTTTTTCTCAAGATTAGGCTTTTAGTAATGAATTTCCCTGTTTTCCTACTGATCGATTCAAACCGGACAACGCATTCATTTCAGGTAATCGCTGTGCGAAATGGATTCCCAAAAGGTCCAGGCGGACTGAAAGTCCATCGCACTATCAGGTAAGCAGTTAGGTTTATAGAAGTTTTCAAACGAGGCAGCCCTGGTCTCCCTCTCTCTCTCTTTGAAGCATATCTTATTAAGTGTACAGTGGTTTGGTTGCAGAGCTAGGGGGGGGGGATTATGCATAAGGGAACACACCAGAGCGTAGCTCACAAATCAAGGCGGTAGGAGCAGAGCGATAACATTTTGCCCTAGGAGGGCAGTTCGGCGACGGAGTGGGGGGGGGCATTCTGCACTTCTGCAACTTCTCATCAGCGTCGGCCATCTGCAGAGAAAAATAGTAGAGAGCTATTTCATGAGCTTACAAGAGTTGACTGTTTCTACAAGCCCGCCCAGCTCGACTAGCTTGCTACAGCTTCACAGGAGTTAAGAGGTTTCACTAGGAGACATCCAGACCGGAACTGATGATGCAGCGAAAATGCATAATGCCCTGCCCCCCCCCTCCTGTCGCCGAACTGCTCCTTATTAGGTCTGTCCAGGACTCGTTAAGTTGAGGCGAATGAACGAAGGATGACTTTCTTTGTCATATCACTATACATCCTCTACTTGCAGAGTCCGCTATCAACAGATTCATCACCAAGTCCAGTGGTGCCGTTCCGATCACTTTTAGAAGACCGTACGCGGAAGCTGTCACCATCGGAATTGCCATCCGAACGCGGTATTATCACGTTCACACTCAGCTACGATCCAGTATCACTTGCACTGCAGGTTTGTTCTCGCTCCTTACCACTAGAAAAACTTTTCAGAGTAAATTCTCTATTCTAGGTAGGGATGAGCGCCTTATAATGTGGTTATTCGTCTTTTTACTGTCACCACACTGAGGCTTTTTCTGGGGTAACTGCAATTAGACTAGGCGCGACTATGTGACGGGCTTGGACTGCGTTTTGGCCTTTGAGAAACCTGCAAGGAAGCGCTTAAGCTGTGTTCATTTTGCGGTAGCGTCTACCAGCGTTAGCGACTAGGAAAGTATAGATGTTGATCTAGCGTCTGCCAGCGTCTACCATCGTCTTAGCGTCTGCACGCGTCCATCAGCGTCTTGGAAGCTAGGGAAGTATCGAACTAGTCTTCAGCGTCTACTAGCGTCTACCAGCGTTCAACAGAGACCGAAAGTAGAGAGCATGAGGAAATAGGAGTGTGCCAAGCAGCTGGATTTGGTGTAGTGGAATTGCGGCATGTGCAGCGCACAACTGCTAAAGCACAGATTAATGCAATTTAATGTGATGTGAATGCAGTTGTACGGTGCAGTTGCACACGTCGCAATTTCACGACGCCTAATCCAGCTATTTGCTACTTTCCTCCTTCTTCATACTCTCTACTCTACCCTTGGTCGCTGGTGAGCGCTGGTGGACGCTGCTCGACGCTGGTGGAACAGGCCCTTGATCGATATCTCTGAATTCGTAGTCGCTGACGCTCGGAACGCTAGTGACGCTGGCAGACGATGGTGGACGCTGTCGCGAAGTATGAACGGTGCCTTAGTGCAATGCAAGTTGTAAAGGCTGTAGTGTGCATCAGGAACTTCGTAAGAGCTTTCCTGAGCTTTTCCTGAATATTATCTATGCAACGTTCCGGCAAGAAAAGGTGAACCATATTTGCACTCCGATTAGTACGTCTGCCCATCTCGTACCTTGTGGTGGTAACTGCATCACGTGTTTGGTGAAAGAGATTGGGCCGAGGATTGCAATATAGGCAGCGAACAGTTTAAAAATGAGCTTCCCTCAATATCGTGGGCACTTCGCTGGAGTTGCGGGGAACACATCGGTTCAGTCCCAATTCTTCCTTGTCTACGAATCAGCCCTCTCTAACGATTTGGCCTCATCGTCGTTTCACAGCTCTATTTCGCCCCGCAGCGATTGCAATTTGCTACATGTTCTAAAAAAAGTCCACAAAAACCCGACGAAGCGCCCACTGCTCGTTTCTCGGCGAAAACAATTATCTCATGCGGCGCGTCACTGCTTATTTCCCATTTATTCACGGCCTAATATGTTTGAGCAACATGATGAGCCAGTTGTACCGCCCACCGTGAGCATAATCGTACCATCGTGTGATAGTCTACTCCTCTTCATTAGCGGAGCTGTCCGGAGCGGGTCAGTGCGGCTGTGCGTTTTCCGGCGTTCAAGTCTTTCTGCACAGATTGTTGAAGGCGTCAAATGATCATACCAGCAATTAACATCCTTCGTATTACTCGTTTTCTACCACTTTTTGTCGCATACGCGCTTCAAAGAAAAGTCTGAGAACGGCTTCAAACAGTGTGCGCACTCCTTCTGGCCGATACGCGACCCGACATGTCCGTATGATGGAGGAGTGTAAATGCCCACGTAAGCTCATTGTCAGTCAGTTGCGGCAGATTGCGCTGAGAGGGCCATCACATGGAAGCGGCTGAACTTTCGCGCTTAACGGGGTTGGAGCACCATTTACTTAAGTAATTCGAATCTACACTTTTCGTTCCAGCCCATGTTATAAAAAGTATTGCTCGTGGTGAAAATGTGCATACGGCCATAGTACCCTATTTTGCTCGAAAGAGTGTGCGAAATACTGCAGGACTTTAACAATCCTCCGAAAACCCACTAGTTTCTGAAGTATTTCTTGAGTTTGCGCAGACACTCCTGCACTCTTTGAGAAACGCTTAATCCCAGACTAATAGAGACCAGACAAGAGATGAGGATTCATCCTCTTGTTGCCCATGACAACGGGGATAGCGAATACCATTTTTGCCGGGGTGTGCAGCGATGAGCTTTCATTTCATTCCACTCAGGCTGTGACAACTTTCATTAACGTCGCTGCCAAAGTTTAATATGCTGGCCATACGTTTTCGAAGAAACGTATGAAAAAGTCAGCGTGAGAGAAGGAAAGGCATGTTTCTTCGCGCTCACATACAACGCTTTTATTAGACCATTTTGTTCACTTTTGAAAAAATTCTCGGCTGTCCAAATTCACGAGTGCAGCCTTTCTTGAGTTTTCAGTTGTTTTCGGTGACTTTTATGCTGTCCTGAAGCGTCCTGTGACAGCCGAAAGAGTGGCATAAGGTGAAACAGTTTTCAAAGGCTGAAATATTTTCGAGTGCATTCTCCAGAGTCGGTCGGAGGTGACGTGGATAGATGGATTGGCGTCGAATTCCTTACTGGCTCTCGCTCGAACCATAGCCTACTATCCCCCGAAGCGTGTGAATCGGTGCCGGGCTCATGTAATAGAATTTGAGGCAAGGTCGATACAAAGCCTAGGTGATGTTGCAGAAGTGTGGAAGAAAATTCGCCAAGTGAACCATCTATGAAGAGAAAATGCCAAAGGGAACGTTGGAAACGCATTCGTCAGGCCTCCTCTAGCCTCAAACAATGTAGAGGTAAAAGACCGAAAAGACTGCGCGCCACGATTCCCGTCGGCTGATTCCCTGTAATGAACCCGACAATACATATAAGAGAAACTGAATGCATCCACTCCATGATACTTGCCCGGGAGCATTACTTTTGGCTGGAAGGCCGACTTTGGAGGCGGAGTCTGGAGGCGGAGTCACTGGAAAAAGGGATGTACCACTGAAGCAACTTTGCGCCTTAATTCCTTTACCGTACAACTTTCCGCCGCGAAACTGGCACAGGGTTGTCCATTCCGGACCGCGGTACCCCACATAATCCTCTAGCATTTTCATAGGTCATCGCGAACCGTTCCTTTAAACATGGTTGTCCACCGAGGACATTTCAAAGGACAAAACGCATTAGAAACCTTACGATTCTGAATGGCAATCAAATGCGAGTCTCATCTGAAAGGGGATTATACAACGCTTTGTCCTTTCATTCTTTGTTCGGAAGGAGGCAGGGTTGCTTGAACGTTGCCTGGTGGTCAGTTCTAGAGAACATTCTTGCTGTTCTGAAAGTCTTTCTGGAGGTGTTCTGCGTATTTCCAGGGTACTTCAAATGAAGACTGGGGAGAGTCCTATCGAATATAAAGTATAATTTCCAGTGGCGTCACAACTTTCAAAGTTCGGGGCCTAGTTTTCTACTTTAGGTGCAATTACTGCCACTAGGTCAAGGTAGGGTACCCGAACCTGTGCACCAGTTCTGGTATAATTCAATTAAATATCCCACGATAATTTTGCAGAAGAGGGCTAACAGTTGGTGCGCCCCTTCCTCTATCCTTTCTGCTCTCTCCACCCGGTATTGCACAGTGTCGCGATGTCCGGCTGGACGCGCCGTGTTCGCCGCTCATAAATGCTCATAAGTAATTGGACTACAGAGCACTATTCATGACCGAATGAACCGTAATAGCTAGCCCCATTGTTGGAATATTGGCCTCACTTCTCTGTCCTACGTATTACTTGTATTTGGTTGAAATTGGTGCAATGCGGCAGGGCAGTGCCAAAGGTACCACTGGTTGTACGATGCTTCTTTACTTCAGCTCAACACAAGGTGGTTAATTAAAACTTATTGGCCTACGTTTTGGCGGTATCGCCTTCGCATTCTACTTCCATTGAATCGTAGTGGCTTATTGAATGCGATGTGGCCTATACAATGACTTGCGGTGGCCAGCCGATGTACAAGTCAGTGTTTTATCCTCCCAGACGAATCGAGTGGTGAGCGTGCCACTTCTCACTGCACCACCTCCGCCTGCTTTATGATTACCCTACTGAAATTTGAGATCAATAGAGGTCCTCACACAATCAAAAGGAGTGTCACCGCTGAACTGTTTGGTCGCCTAGACCGCCCAGCCGACAGTAGACCGCCTTGAACTGTTCGTCACTCACGGTTATCTAAGGCCGCTCCTTAGGTGAGGTCTCATCTCCGCGTTATCGTGGCACTCTTCTCCTCGGTTCATACTTGGATTGCTCCGAAATGCAGAATGCCTGGAGGGTTTTCCGTGCGTAGTAACCCGAACAACAGCGGTAGGAATTTCTTGCCACTGGCGGAGGCATACGAAACATAGCTGTTCTAGGGAGCACTTTAACAAAAATCTCTGACAAAAGCATGAGTACGAGTGCTGCTCCTTCCTCTTTTCGGTCTTTATGAGACTGTTAGGTCATTAATAACTGATCATCGCTCAGCGAACTAGTATCTCCTGTTTTGAAAACACAAGTTGTAGCGACGAAAGATCGTTTATGCGGTTGGATATCTGACTACATTCGTGGTCGCCTTCGTATAGAGAACATTAAACATCGTCGGCATTTCCTTGGGATTACTTGCTCTACGTCCAGCTTTGCGTGATAGCATCTAAAAGCTTTGTTAGAAAGTTCCCGTATGAAAAACTTGACAGTTAGCCTGGAGATGAACCTACCCTGATGTAATAGAATAGGTGCATTTTTATTTGGTGATGCCATGAATTTCCAGCTTTTCATGAATGTATGTTGCTATGGTTACTGTACTAGTAGCTATACTGTAAATACAGCTTTTTGTGAGTGACGGAAACTTCAGAATATTCCTCAGGGGCAGTTTCAGAGGGGGAGGGAGGGGCATTCTGCACACCTGCTATTTTTCATCGACGTGTCGACCCATCTAGACAGCCTCTTCTCGAGTTGACAGGTTTTACCATGATGGCTTGACGAGCTTGCTCCAGCTTCACAAGAGTTCACAGGTTTCACCAGAGTGAGACTTGTAAACCGGAACTAGTGAAGCAACGAAAGTGCAGAATGCCCCCCCCCCCCTCCCCCCCACCCGTCGCCAAACTGTGTCTATTGCTCATTATAACCCTCGACTTGGTGTTTAACACTGAGAATGACAAATAGTGGCTTAAACGCGCCGTGGGGGTGTCCAGAGAACATACTGTAAAACATGTTTCATGGCTCAGGGAGGCATTACTTATGTCCGAAATGAACGAACATGAACACGCTTTATAGCTGCCATGGAAACAACTAATGGTTGATGTAGCTGACTTTATCCTTTTATATTTCAAAAAAGCCTTGTGGAACAAAGCCTGCTCAAATTAACGCCTACGAACTTGTCGGTGCCGAGGCTATCAATGCTAATAAGATAACCAACGAAGAGAAAACAAACACAGCTGTCATAGATCCCTGAAAAAAATTCTCGTATTTTTGCCGACGATTTTTGGAGTCATACGAAATCACCGCCTTTCCTCGGTAAATAATTCTTTTATCAAAGAATTTTTGACCGTGGCTCAATCGATCCCACTGAAATTATTCGCAAACACTCCTTGCTATTCACACATCTACCTTCAAGATCCCTGGGATACAGAGCTGTGTACTCGAATCGCTTGGCTGTGTACTCGAATCGAACAAATCACCGGCTAAGCTTTTCGTGAGATATTTCCATTTCGGGGCAGTTGCAATCACGTCCTCGTCCAACACAAAACAAGATGACAGCTGTCTCAAGCTATCTCAAGAAATATCCCACAATATCAAACAACCTCATGTCATGTCCAAATGCCACCCTACTCCGTCTCAGTGCTGGGAGTGTAGCTCCTGATGAAGGGCGTGACTGATTTGACGTGCGGGTTTTATAAGATGAGAGACATCGGCCGTACGTACCCTCATTTCACAATATTGAGGATATTTGCAGCCTTCTTCCATGGAATCACATAATAAACACCATGCTTTGGCTGTTCTCAGGACACCTTCATTTATAGTAGTATGCGTGAGGCAACTGGGTTCTTCTCTGTAAAAGGAGAATTTTCACAGTGCCATTTTTGGACAAGATTACTGACGGACTCAGAAAAGGGCACACACATAAATAAAAAAAGAATAGTTGCGTCGCAATCGAAAGCTGAGAGGATAGCAGGGGAGAGCCGGATTGGCAACCTAAAGTTCTATATGATCGTTCACCGAGAATAGGTTCGCTAGCCCATGAACCTTCGTCTTTCGACCGCAGAACCGTTCGGTTACGTTATAAGGAAGAAGGGAGGCATTAGCACTTCTGGTTACTTCCGATCGACGTGTCGACCCATCCAGGGAGCTATTGCATGAGCTTACAAGAGTTGACAGGTTTTGATGTGGCTCCACGAGCTTGCTTCAGCTTCACAAGAGTTCACAGGTTTCACCAGAGTGAGACTTGTAAAATGGGACTAGTGAAGGGAAGTGCAACATGCCTCCCCATCCCTTTGTCGCCGAACTGCTCCGAAAGGAAAGGAACTGGAGAAAGATTTGTATTCGGTTACGATGACTCCGACGATTCGAGGATATAATAATCATTTCAATGATTTGATTTTGACGCTTTTGAGGACTATAAGATTAGATGCATTTTGAGTCGACTTCACAAACGTCCATGTAGACGTGAACGAGAGGTATGAAGCAGCCTTAGGGATAGTATCTGGAGGTGGGGGAAGGGGGGTGATCACCTGCGATGATCAGTTGTTTGTAGGAGAGGAAGCTGAAATTGGGTCTGCCATGGTCCAATTACTCGAGCTTCGATGAAGTTCTCTGCCAGGCCTGCGATGAATCAGGCGCATGGTTGACATAAGGGTCACTGCAGAAGCTTAGGTTACCGTGGTTATTGAGAAGTTGTTAGGAAGAAGGAAAACTAGGGGTTCTCCGCGATTAATTGGGCGGCATCGGTCAGGGAAGATAGAAAACGGTGAGAGACCGCATCACAACTGAAATTTTCTGCCGTTTTAAACCTTCATATCTCGAAAACCCCCATATCTGCCACTGATGAGATAGCCATCTATAGAAAGTTTTATGAAAGAGTTCCTTCTGCTCACAATCCTGATTTTCTGTGCCTCAACTGCACGCGTCATGATGCGCAATTCATCGTTTTGCATGCTGTGGACCACGTTCCCGTTTTGCTCACTGCCATTTTAGAAGGAGGGAAAGATGCTAATCTGAGTAATGTAATAAGATCGAAGTGAGGTCGAAGTCAGCGGTGTTTTAGCGGAATTTATGTTTGACCCCAAAAGGTAATCTAAATGATTTTCCCAACATATCAGGGAAATAGTTAACTCCAGGTCACGCTTAGTAAGTTGACAACCCGCAACTCTTACTAATAGCTGTTCACTTCGCTGCCTAATTTGATCACTGTGTTCAGCTTGCATTCAATTTTGGTCGGAGTTGTCAGCTATCTCACTTTTGTTATTCGAAAGGAGGCTATAGAAATCATGCAAATGCCACTAGTGAAATATCAACTAGAGCTCCTCCTTCGACATTTCTCGGGAAGAGCCTATCCGAGTGAAAGGCTACATCTCGGGGTGTATACAAAATGCTAAGGACTCAGTTATCGTCATGCCGAGTATAATGAAGATATTGCTCTAATGGCTTCGACATAAGGAACATTGAGTAAAAAGCGTCGCTATGGCTAGGGCAGTCATGCAGGTACCTGTTTCTAAGGACTTCCTACGTCACGCTCTCGAGAGGCTGCAGTGAGTAAGGGGGCCACGAAACCACTATGCATTACCTTACGCACGACGGGAACGATTGGTCATAAGCCGCTGGTACGGTCCCGAGTGATCAAGCTCCTCCAGGATTTTCTCATAATCTTTATAGATATATTGCTACCTCATTGCTAGAGGTACATTTTTCAACAAAGCCTTTGAAAAGGTTGCAGGTAATGGAAATGAAACCAATAGGGTTTGTGGTATTCAATTATTCCTAGAGGAAAAAAGCAGAGAAATCGTTGAAAGCGCCTCTAAATGTGCCCTCCTTGGGTTTTAAGTGAGAGGCGAAGGTTTGTCGGGAATCGGGACGGGGGACTAGACAAGAGTAGTGGGCCGACGCCGACCTGAGCAGGAGCCCCTTAGTTTCAGAAGAAGCTAATTGAGCAACCTTGCGCCTTGACGCCTATGTCTTACAACCTTCCGACGTGAAACTGGTACGTGGGTGTAATTGAAACTCGGCTGCTCCGCATTTTAATTCTTTTACACTCCACATTCCTGTGATCTGGGAGAGGTGGCTTACGTGCTCCGTTTGAGAAGCGATGGTGGCAGTGCGTATGATGACGTATTTTCATTTCGGAACAGTTGTAGCCATGTCTTTGTCCAACGCAAGGCAAAATGATAGTTGAGTCAAAGTGAAAGGATCATGACGTAGCATGTGCTACAGTAGTGAAGAAAAAGACAAGCCCCATACTGAATTGAGGCTCTACCTGCATAAGGAAGGAACGTGTGTCTGGGAGAAGCGCCTGTCACCTAAGTGGAGAAAGATAGTACGCCGATAAATAAATAGTAATAATTAGGGTTGCCTGCTCAAAGGGCGGCCTCTTTTAATATATATATATATATTCCTCTCATATTGTTAGAGCTGCGAAGTAAGTATTTAGGTGGCGGGAAATTCTGTCATACTTTTGTACTGTCCCTATGAACTGAAGAGGGCTAACCGGTAATGTGAGCATTTATACATTAAGGATTGATCTTTCTATTAGTGTCACTGGCTCGGCTCCTGCTCATCCTTATCTGCATTATGGACAGACATCGTTGTCCGCTACGTCAGCAGCTCAACCCCTTCAAGGCTTCCTTAAAGTTTTTATTTTCTTCTGCCCCCTCAGCATGGCCAGCTATCGACGCCGCGAAATAATGGAGCTATAATTATTCAGCATCAGAAAACCACGCGACGCTAGCGACTTCAGAGAGTATTTCCTATGGTTTAAGTGTCTAGTACCTGTAACTCAGCTCTGATAGCGCTGGGGTCGGGAATCTACTGGAATGAGAATCTGCCTCGGTCAATCCGTACACAGGGCAGCTACGAGATCTGAAGCGAATCGTCAGCAGAGGGCAAAATCCATGTACAGTCCGTCTTCAACATGCTGGTGCAGCACACCCCGTCAAAAAAAGTTCGAGGCTAATATATAGCTGGATGGCGTGTGATTTAGTTCTAGACCTTACTCTTTCTGGCCTGCTAGTCGCCCTCCGTATATTTATACAGCGGAAAACCTACTTGAGCCCAAGTCATAATTATATGTAATTGCTTTCGCGCCAGTTGCGTGCCATTGCAAAGCGATGGCATGCACGAACTCTCAAAAACTGACATGGATCTCTCATAACATTGCTGTTGCTAATTTGACTGTTCTTTGTAGAAATAAAGTCTAATAAAATGTGACAGCACTTTCCCGCCAAACCTTAAACATTCCCTATTTTTGTGTGGATAATTTTTAGAAGAAAGCGTGAAACATCAAATGAGCATCCATAAATGCTGCTCACGCATCACTCAAAGTACGCCCCACGAACTTTCTTTCTTGATTTATGTATTATTGAGAAAATGTCTGTAGAATATCGCGATTATATATATATTCTTATGTTCAGACACCTTCTTAGACTCCATCGTAAGATAGTGTCATTATATTATCACTAGCTCGAGCGTCAGCGGACTGGGGCCCGGGGGGGGGGAAAAAAGTATAATTATCGATCTAGCGTGGGTATGTTAGCGTCTCGAGGGCTAGGAATATTTTATAGGTTTTACGAACTGGCGTCTGCCTAGTTGATCACCAGGGTTTACAAGCATTTAACGCAGCGACCGGCAGTAGAGAGTTATGGGGAGTAGGAGTGTTGTTAGAACAGCAAGTGATTGAGACGCGTCGTGAACACGCACATATCTGACGGCAAGCATTAGGCATGCGCGGTGAGTTGTGAACCGGGACGCTGGGTAAGTGCGGTTGGCTACGCTGCGATTTCACGACGCTTAATTCAGCTGCTTTCTACCCTCCCGCTCCCCATACTCTCTGCTCCGCTGGTGAACGCTGCCACAGCCTTATCTCTGATTTCGCCAATCTGAAGAAGATTGGAAAACATTCCCCATATGGTCATCTTTAGACAATCTGTTGAGTTCAGTCGGAGCACTTTGAAATGGATAAGATTTGATCTTTCTCAGCAATCTGGAAAATTATTTGTCGATATTTCAGGTCGGCATTGTCGAATGTCGCAATCTGTGCGAACTGGTTGTGTCCCGCGACGGACAGTGTCTTCTGGACCCATATGTGAAGTTGCAGCTTCTTCCAGGTTAGTACTTGTGGTGTCTTCCCCTATGTTCCTTGACTAATAGTGATCGATACAGAACGTGAACACCGCGTCAAGACCCGGATCGTTCGCTCGACAACGTCGCCAAAATACGATGAGCAGTTCACAATGTATGGTGTGACCAGCGAACAAGTCACATTCAGCACTTTGCACTTCCAGGTAAATAACAGCGCTACTCGTCTGTGATCACTTGGAACGTCCACCATTTTAGGTTGTTGCTTTCGATAGATACAGTCGTGACACAGTCGTCGGCGAGTGCGTCTACAGGCTCGGAGACGCCGAATTAATGCTCTATCAGGAGATGAGGTACTGAACGAAACAGCTGAGAGCTTTTCTCGCTGCTCTCACATATTTGTCCTGATACAAGTCAGTTCACGATTGCAGAGTGGAGCTTGAACTTCAACCACGTGCGTCTGATTGCGTTGCGGCTCGTGGGGAGCTTCTCCTATCGTTGACGTACCAACCTGCATTCAACAATCTGACTGTGGTTGTGCTCAAGGCCCGTGGTCTCAGCAGAAACGAAACTGGAGCTGCAGGTTCGTTGAATTCAATTGAACAAATGGACGAGCCTTGTTAAAAATTCAAGGTAAAAATACTTTATGTAGATTCCATAGCATCGTACAAACTTTGTTAAAGCTAGCATGATGTCTAGCAAGGTAACCGTTGTTTGCATGCGCGAGCAAAGCGCAGCTACTATAGTGGAGAAAACTGAGCCTCGGTAATTCGGTTTCCTTATGGCTAGCGGGACATAGTTCATTTAGCCCGAGATTATGGCACTATCCACCCTTTACTGCCCAATCACTCTAATTCGAAGCCAGACTGATCGTAGATGTCCTCCTAGGCTAGACTTCGTAGGTCTTTGAACAGGTGGCTGGTTTAATCCCCTCAATCGGATATCTCATGGGCCTGGCTTGAAATCGCCTGCTGCACGCCCGAAACAGGTACAACGCCAAAGCATCCAAAAGCACCAAACTTTGGCTCATAAGGTAGTTCACCCCAGGTAGTGAGTACCCTGACTACGTAAATTGCCTTAGCTCTTGGCGACGAAAGCGCGTTCGCGCGCCACTAGCTTTGGTCCCCTGGCGCCGGCGGTAGACGCTCTAGTCCCATGTATAGGGGGTATTCGCCGGCAAAGAATCCAGCTATCTTAAGAGACAAGATTGCTACAGACCTATCCTTCGATCGGAATGAGGCCCGATTCTCAAAATAAGGTGGTACATAAAGGGTGTAATATCGTAAATGTTAACATGGGTATGTCCGGGAAATATCTGATAATCGAGTTTACTAGTGTTGTCTAGACATGCACTTCATAGATTCTGGAAGAGCTGCCATGCTCGACCTTCCCCATCAGCTGAAGCGCCCTGTAAAGTTTGGGATTTCCCCTGAGTCGCAACAAGGGGATCACAATTATTGAGTCACGTCCATACTTCCTACAGTCCAGCTCGCTGCGGACAAAGGGGAGTGTCTGTACGGCTGCTTTGGGCGCGATGCCAGACCGGTTCTCTACCATTTTGGGAGCGAGCGAGCAACAGACAGTATCATCGTGTTCGTATCACTCGTTTTCCACCAATCATTATCACGTACCCGTATCAGCAAGTGTGGAGAACTGGCACTGTGGCTCACTCATGTTGCCTGACACGCCCCTTCGTACGCAGCGGATTAGAGTATACCTACTTTCGTAATTCTTCGAGTAGCAGGATATTGGCTCGCTTTGTTTACATTTACGGCTTTTCCCAGTTTCTGTTGTGTCTGTGGGAGAGGAAATCGGAAGTTTGCATCAGAATTAAACGTTGCTTGGTCAGGAGAAACATAAAAAGTGGAAATGAAGATTAAATATTGAGACGTAATTGCGCTGAAGCGTGCCCAATATTGTTGCGTACTTTGCTTTCTCTCACTCTTTTGATTCTGAAATGAGGGAATTCGCTCAAAAGCACGGTCCGCGATAAAAAGCCTAGGTGATTTTGAGAAATGTTCGCCAAGTGAACCATCTACAGAGAGAAAATGCCAAAAGGAACGTTGGGAACGCACTCGTCAGGCCTTCTCTAGCCTCAAACAACTGTAGAGGTAAAAGACCGAAGAGACCACGAGCTGGATGAACCCCTATGACTCTACAAGAGACATTGAATGCATCACTCCATGATACTGCCCGGGAGCATTACTTTTGGCTGGAAGGCCGACTTTGGAGGCGGAGTCTGGAGGCGGAGTCACTGGAAAAAGGGATGTACCACTGAAGCAACTGCGCCTCAATCCCTTAACCGTTCAACGTTCCGCAGGGTTGACAAAAAAAATTGACACAGGGTTGTCCTCTCCGAACCGCACTACCTTCCCACATAACCTCTTGCATTATCATAGGTCATCGCGGACTTCTTCAAAAAAGTAGTACTGTATAATAGCATTATCTTGTGGTATATAGATATGCTACAGTGGAATCCATTTATAAACCCTCTCATTCCACTATGTATGTACATACTGTGTGAGCAGCTGAGTGCATATGCACTCCATATCACGCACATGAGGAGGCTATGGCCGCGTTCTTCATTCTAAGATGGCGTGTGCTAGAAGTTGTGGGGTACTCTTCTTAAAGACAGCTCCCGCGATAAAAGTGTCTTGGATAGTTGCTTTTCAATTATGAAACAGTAGCTGATAAGTAATCTCCCAAAGAAGAAAACAAGCAAGAAGCGTCCTCCAGAACAACATAAACAAAATCGCTCCCTCACAGTCACACCTCCCTGCGGTCTCTGTGCAACCCCTAGCTCACAAATCTCTCTCTATCACATCTCGCAGTAGTTGATATCATCCAGTGCAAAAAAAAAATACAAAAAGAAAACAACAAAAACGCAGAGGAAAAACTCTCGGAAGGAAAAAGAAATTTTAAAAACTCCCCGGCAACTTGTGCCGATTGGGTTACGGTTAGCGCACATTCTAGTGCACTGAAGACGTCAGCTTTTCGCACCATGAAAAATTCTGCTGTCCACTCGTGATTTTTACGGTCACCTCCGAAATGGCTTGAGCTAATGTATATTGTCCCATTAACAGTAATCATAAAAGGAAGCAGAAGTATCGCCATGTGCACAGTGCGGTCAGCCAAAAGAGATGCCAGTTCGATAATGCCCGCGGCGCCCCAACTATGAACAATTGTGGCCCCGTCGGAGGGCATCTAGCAAGTAAGGCGGTCCAACTGAGCAGGCGTTAGAACTAGAACTGAGCGGCTGTAGCTCGCTCCACGCTCACTGTGGAGTCGATCAAGCGGACCTTCTACTCGGGCTGCTACTACGCACTAGCGAAGAACGACCATGTACTACTCGAGCGCGGGGGCTGTCTATAAAGGCAGTTGGCGCGATTTTTGGCTGCTTGGCCTAAATGCTAGTAGATTGCTGTATATTGGGGAAAATGGCGAAAAAACGGAGTGAAACGGTCAAAATCCCGCGAAAAAGAGCCTTTGTTCTCACTGTGTTAGTAATCGAAATTGGACGAGTTTTCCGAAGGCATCTTACCAGAAGGCACGAAGGTACGGCTGCATATATGTACTCATATATCCATGCAGCATCACGACCGCTTCATAACAATGCTTTCGCTTCATAATCTGCTTAGCAAGTGAACGAATACGAGCGTCAGGAACAGTCGTCCATTTGTGGGCGGGCGGGCAAAGGGGCGTTTGGAACGTAAGTGATGGCTGACAGCGCCCCTTATGAAGGGCTCTCCTCCTGAAAAAGCCATTATGCACGCCTGCTCGGCTGGCTTCGCGGAATTCCACGTCCTCTAGCTATTACTCCTGCTTGTCTTGGAGAATTTATCGTGCCAACTGCCTTTAAAGACACTGGCATTCTTTCGTACGCGTATCGAAATCTATGAATAGCCAGATTCAGTTGCCCAAATATCCATTTGCAACATCCCTCTGAAAGCGCAACCACGCTCTCTCTCCTTCCCCAATTCCAAGTTGCGGTGCGTGCGTGTGCACAGCCAGTACAGCCTAGTTCCACCACTTAGGTCGTCCTGAGACCGCTGCAGTTAGTGGGAAATCTGCCCTGGCTACAAGCCATGCCCCGTCTTGCGCCTTGTCGATTGTATGTGCGTCGTCAAACTCAACTACTTCCGCATTACCTCAACAAAAGCCGTTCAAATAGCAGTTTTACTTGTCATATGACCTAGGATAAGAGTGACAGGAATGAGGCTATTAGTGTGGGTGGAGGGAAAATCCCATCGCGAAGCTTAAAAAGATTAGAGGGAGAGCCCACGATCACTGATAATTATCTCGTAAGGGGAAGTGGTGTGGACTGGAACGAACAGCCCTGTATAAGTTTCACGACAAAAACTGGTAAGCTAGCTGTTGTAGGGCACAAGATTGCACAGCCAATGCTTTGGCTGTCTTCGCGTCCGATATTCACGTCGATTCTTTCTCTATATCGCATCTTACAAGTAGGGACTTATTTGGAGCGCCTTCAACGGTCTGCTCTCCTTTTTCTTAACAGACAGGTCATCTGACACGTAAACTCCTGTTTCTGAACCCTAAACCCACGAACTTCTCGCTATCTCATCGCGAAGTATGCCTTGAAAAATGAAGAACCAAAAAAATAGCTTCACTCAGGAATCATCTTCTCTCGACTGTCTCCATTTTCTCAGAAGCATGTCTCAAACCTTCTGCATAACCGTTACGTGGTCGCTTCATAAATATCTGAGATTCACTGCATATATGAATATCTCAGCTTCGACAATGCGAGGAAAGAGGACATGAAGCGGATTTCCACAAAAGAGCGTCTTAGGCACTGTTTCAGGCGCGTACCTTATTTTTGTTAGAATCAACCGCTGTCTTAATCGACCTCACTTCCCTAATCACGAACAGGGCACTCACTTCAAAGGTCGGCACCCTGCTGAATATCATATTCCCGACTAGTTCCCTCGACTTTTTCCTTTCACTGCGCATGTAACTTCATGTAAGTTCGTGTTCGTGAGAAATGTGGCATTTTGCGCCAAAAATAGATACCATCTTTGTGATAAGGACCTTTGCTCGGTTACCCCTGGATGTCAGTTTATGAAAAACTGATGAGAAAGTAATTGTCACCCTTATTAAATATCAGAATGTAATACAATTTCAGTTGTATATAAGTTTATATACATGCTGGTGGCTAACCCCAACTGACGCTTGCCCCCAAGAAAACGGTGCTTTCGGGCGGGCTTGGTGGGGGCATTTTGCTAGTTT